AGGGCCTAAAAAAAATTCCCAGATAAGTCACACCCAGAACTAGACAACTGCCATTTATTACACATACTGCTGGGGAAAAAACTTCCAAGAGCTCTAACCGAAGATTCCCCTAGTGGTTCACCATGTGCTGTGCTAAGTCACTCCAGTGGTATCTGACTCTGCGACCCTATGGACTATAGCCTGCCAGGCTCCTGTGTCCATGGAATTCTCCAGGCAAGAATACTGGAGTGGGTTGCCATTTCCTCCTCCAGGGGATGTTACCGACCCAGGGATCAAATCCACGTCTCATGTCTCCTGCATTGGCAGGAGGGTTCTTTACCGCTAGAACCACTTGGGAAGCCCATGCTCAGTGATAAAACCATTTTGAGGAAGAGCTTTTCACACTATATCCAGAGGTATTCTCTCTCACTTACAACGTGGATGTTGCCATCTCAGACTTTTCACAAAAAGCTGGAGATTCATAAACTGAATCATTTTCCCATATTGATTCTTCCATTATTCCCCACAAAAGTTAAGTATATTAAACTTATGTAGACGTGAAATGTTAGCATTAGAAACAATAATAGAATCAGAATTTTACTGGATAAGAACTCAACTAATTCATATTGCAGACCTAGAGAGGCTGTCTAGCTGACCCACCCAAAGCTACACAGTAAATTAATAGCAGAACCGAATGCAAGTTACTCCTAAATCAGATCTTCATCCACATCACCATGCTGTCTATGCCCTACTACAAAAGTCTCAACTCCTTCAAGAGTTCATCTGAGAGGCTATTCAGATGCATCAATGCATATTTGTACTTTTATTGATATATTATTAGATTTGCACATACCCACCACTGATACCTATTCTGACTCAACCTGAAACAAACCTAAAAAAATAAACACAAAAGCACTTTTAAAAGCTCACTACTGAGATTCAACAAATATTAACTAACTTATCTATTTTGAGTTTCCAAATATTCCAAAAGCACATAAATCAGTTTTTCTCCTCAAAATATTTAAATCATTGCCTCTCAAAGCGTGAAAGGTTCCAGAATCAGAATTAACAATATACTTATTAAAAATTCAAATTCCCAGTGTCATCCCCAATTAAACAATCTCTTAAACTCCCAAAATGGTATTTTAAAAAGCTCTCCATATGACTCTTATTCATCCAAAATCAATTTATTGAACATTCACTCTACAACATTCCAGTGGGAAACAAGGAACAAACAAGTAAACAAAAACAAGAAAACATTTTGGATTTTATCTGTGCAATGAAGAAATAAAGGTAATATGTCAAAGAGCGACCTGGAAGACTACAGTTGTCTCTTAGTAATCTCAAGGGATTGGTTTCAAAACCCCCATCAGATATGGGATAGCCAACTAACAGTACTTTAAGGAGCAACCAGACACAGAGTTTTCAGGGCAGTGAAAATATGTTGCATGATATTATGACAAATCCATGTTATTATACTACATTTGCTCAAACCCTCAGAATGTACAAGCGTGAAACCCTGACATAAACTATGGACTCTGGGTGATTATGATGTAGGGCCATAAACTCTCAAAAATGTACCACTCTGGTGAGGGATGTTGATAATGGGAGATACTATTTAGGTCTGGGGGGGAAGAGTTATATGGGAAATTTCCTTATCTTTCTGTATCTTTCTTAATATTGCTGTAAACCTAAAATTGCTCTTTAAAAACAAAGCCTTAAAAAAAATAAAAGTAAGAAGGTCTTTCTGCAGAGGCAACATTTGGAGTAGTCCTTCACTTAAGAACAATGGTTCTCAAATTTAGTGTGCATCAAAATCACCTGGTGGACTTACTGAAAATGATTTCTGGTTAGATGGTCTTGAGTGGGGCCCATTCCTAACAAGAGTGCAGATAATGTTGATGTTGCTAATCCAGAAACCACACTTGGAGAATGATGGATCTAAAAGGAACAGCTAAAGGGTTTGAATAACTTTGGTGTGTTAGAAAAAGAGGAAAACAAGGCCATTAGAAGGGAGGGTAATGTCATTGCTTCGGAACCACTTAAGACAGTAAAGCAAACTACCAACCATGCCTATCCAGACCAGAGATAGGATCACAGGCTGTTCAATAATACCTTACAATTGCAAAGCATTGCATAGTTTAAGAAAGTATTTTCACTTTCATTACTTAATTTGATTTAATGAGATTTAAGTGAAGAACTATAAGCTACATTTTAGAGGTAAAGAAACAAAAGGACAGAAACATGATGAACCTGAGGAAACCAGAAAACAAAGGGCAGAACTATGTTCCCTAACTTCAATCCAGTGTTCCTTCCAGACAGCAAGTTTGATTTTTTTTTTAAAAAGCAAAGCAAAAGATACACACAGGAGGTAATACTAAGTCATTCTCTAGACTCTGCTGCCTAAAAATATGGTGGCTTCCAGACTTAATTTGTTCTAGACACTGGTTAGAAAGCAACACTACCTTAAGACTGACAGTATTTAGTCTCATCTGCTTTATTTCTCCTAGTTCAAAAACAAACGATGACGAAGTGAAGAGGACATTTACACACAATTATTCTCTGTCTTGCATAAATAAGACAGAACAAATTTCATAACCTCAGTCCCTCAGCCACATCAATCAAACACAATTTTCATCTTGTATTGCCTCTAAATCTCTCACCTAATCCAGGTTCCCACAAGAACACTGAATCTCACAAGTCTTAACTATACTCATGAGGCCCTCAGCAGTTAGTTATACACCCATTATCCACCCTCCCTATACCCATTATCATTTAGTATCTTCTCCATCAATTAAACCCTCACTTTTAACACTCTTACCTGCAGGTCTCAATAATACTTCAAATCCAAAACTGAAATCATCACACACACACACACCTGTTTCTGTGCCTGAATTATCTGATTTTGCATTAATAGCACTGCCACCCACCAAACAAGAAACCTGGAACTTGGCCTAGACACCTGTGTCTCTCTCACACCAATCTCAACTGGCCCCTCATCTCCATTCTCGGTGCTACTTACAACTAGTTATCATCAATGATAAACTAGCTGCCATTTCACTAGTAACTACCATGTACTAGTCACTTTGTTACATGTACTAGCACCATGTACTAGTCACTTTGTTAAGTCACTTCATTCTATCAATAACTTTACGAGGTAGATAATTTTTGTCCTTGTAAAATTAATCTGTCCAACTAGGCAAGAAGTGACCAAGTAGGCATCTAAGAAAAACGTTTTCTCCAGAAGTCCGTACCTTTCCCCCATGACAAAACACTTCCTTCTTCAACACCTGACAACAGTCCTTTACCAGCTAATTTCTCTCCTAGATTACTGCCAGAATTCTCCTAACTAGTCCTGCCACAGGTTTTTTCTTCCCTTACCTTTCAATGTGCCCTCAAGCAATCCTCCTGGTAGATCACAAATGTCATCCTTTTATCCTAATACAAAAGTCTGTGAGGTAACTTCCCTGGTGGTCCAGTGGCTAAGACGCAGCACTCCCAATGCAGGAGGCCCAGGTTCAATCCCTGGTCAGGGAACTATATCCCACATGCCACAACTAAAAGACCCCGCATGCTGCAAGGAAGACCCTTGCAGGATAAAGAAATATTTAAAAAAAAAAAGGTCTGTGTAGATAGACTCCCTTTAGTCTATCTACAATGTACCAGGATACATTCCACAGGATGAATCCAAACCCTTTAGTACAGGTTGACAATCCCTTACCTTCAGCCCCAAACTTCAAAAGCTTTGAAATTTTAAAGTTTTTTCGTGAGTCTGCAACAAAACCTACCCTGAACTGTGGGGGGTTATTTCTCTATCCCATTAGTGATATTCATATGCCTTACTACGGAAACATTAACACTTAATGAATTGTTAACCCAGACCCCGCTGGAGTATTGAAGACCTCAGCAGGAAAAAGAAAAATTTTCAAAGTATTCTGACCTCTAAAACACACCTGGTCCCAAGAGCTTCAGGTAAGGGATTGTAACTTCTTACCTACTCAGCCCATCAAACCAACTTAATTTCCAGTGATGACCTGATCCGTCCTAGGAATGTGTAAGATGTCCTGTGTTCTGAAAACTCTACAACTACAACCTACTCTACTCTACAACCTACTCTCCCTTCAAGAAACCTACGCAAGGATTGCTTTTCAGTGAAGTTTTCCTGACCTTGTCTTGACTGTGCCACAACCACTGCATCCACCTCTACTGCTGTATCTTACACGTCTGTTTCCCCTATGTTGGGCAGTGAACCGACTCCTCACTGAGCATTTTATCCAATCGCAGCACGGTATCCGAAACACTAAGGGTCCATTAATGTCCAAGAACTGAAATTCATCCCAACTCTCCCTAACACCCAATTCCCTTCAAAGTTCAGTTCTCCGTTACCCCTAAACCTAAGGTTTTTTTCCCTAGCCATGCAGGCCCCTCACAGCGATTTTGTTTGCAGAGTTCCTTCTTCTCAATGTCATCCTAAAGTTACTTTCTACCAGACGCCTTTTCTTAGCCCCAAATTCTCCAATGCCCTTTAACCTTCCTAGTCCTTCTTTCCCCTATCTTTGAACAGGTCTCCCTCTAAGGCAATTCATCCTCACTGCCCTTATCTCTTACCTACTCCCTCCTCAACACCTCTCAGGGCTGGGCCCTCCCTTGAAAACGCTTCTCACAGGCGGATTCCCAGACCCCCTCTTCGCCCACAATCCGTTCCATCAGCTCCCGAACCTGCGCTCGGCCCGAGTCCACGCCTTCCCGGCCCGTATCTGCACACCACGAACCTCCCCTGCAGCCGGCGTCCCCTCCCCCAGCCTCTCGCAGCCGGCACCCCTCCCTTCACCCTCCCCGTCTCTCTGGAGGTTCAGCTTCTCTGAGAACTGTCCCAGGAGCCGTGTCTTTCACCTCTGAGACTCCTCAGGATCACGCCGGTCAGAGCAGCCCCGCGCCCGAGTACTCTCAGAGGACCCCAGATCCTCCTCGGCACAGCAAAGCCCCTTCGGCCCAGACCTCGGGCCGGGCCTCCCTCTCACCTTGCTGGATGTCGCCGTTGCTGCCCCCCGGGATGGGCACGTTGAGTTGGCGCTCGGGCTCAGGCAGGCAGCGCAGGCAGAAGGAGTGAAGACAGGGCAACAGCTTGGGCTCCGCCTCACGCCGGCTCTGCAGGCTCTGCTGACACACGGCGCAGGTGTCCAGGAGCGAGGCTGGCGGTCCAGGAGGCGGCCCCGCCGAGGGACCCGGAGCAGGAGCCGAGGCCGGAGCTGGGGCTGGCGTCGATACCGCCCCCCCGGGAACTCCAGGGCCCACTGAGGCTGCAGGAGCTGAAGAAGCCGGGGCCGAGCCCGAGGAGGCCGCGGCCACCCCCCCGTCGTCGGGCCCGGCCGCGCTGCTCTCCCCGCCGGCCCTGCCGCCTTCCTCCTCCTCCTCCTCCACCAGCACCGCGGCGAGAGGCGGCTCCGCCTCCTGCGCCGCGGGCCCGGCGGCCCCGGCAGTTACCGGCGCGCTACCGCTGCCCCCGCCGCCGCTCTCAGCCTCGCCGCCGCCTTTGTTTTCCGCCATGTTTTCCTCTTTGAACCCGCCGGACCGCCCCGCGCCGCCCGCCGCCGCCGCCGCCGCCGCCCCCAGCCCCAGCCGCAGCCGCAGCGAGAGCGGCCGCCGAGAACGAGCAAGCTAGAGAACGAACGAACGAGAGCGCGCGCGCACGCAGCACCCCCACCCTCGCGTCGCGCGGTTGCTGGAGGGCGGGCGCGGCGCGCGCACGTACGCGCGCACGTACGCGCGGACGTCCTCCGGAGGGAGGCGGGAACTCCGGGCGCGGGCGCGCAGCCGTCCAGGTTGCCCCTCCCGACCTCTGGGGCCTGCACGTAAGATTTTGCCCCGCTGCCGTTCCCTTCGCTGTGAGCCCTTAAAGCCATAGACTGTTGACGCTGAACTACCTTTAGTCACGGTGGTTAAGAGCTCGGACGCGGCCACTATACGGGGAAGAGCGGGAAAGGGTGGAAGGCCGGGGCTGCTTCCCGCGGAGCGAGCGACTCTCGGGTGGCGCGGTTCCCAGGGTGGGCGCATCTCCGCGGAAACCTCCCTCCGCGCGGGGTTAGACTCCCAGGCCTCCTGGATCTCTGTGCTTTAATTGGCCGCGTTCCTTTGGATGATTGTATCTCTCGGGAGCAGTAAAGGGAGGATTTTTGTTTTTAACTGGCGGCGTACCAGAAATAGGCCGAAAAAACTCAGTGAAGGAAAAAAAAAAACTCTTTAACCGCTATTTTTAGCTTCTTAAGGTGATTGTTTTCTCTGCCGTTGCTACGCATCAGAAAACCAATCAACTGAGAGGCTTTTTCAGAGCGGAGATGTGCCAGGACCACACCCCAGACCTGCATCAGGAAGTGGGGGTGAGCTGATGAATGTTGAAAGCGCTTTGACTGACTGATGGGCGTCAGTTTGAGAAGTCACGCTCTAACCAATATCATGTTCTCAGAGTCCCACTTAGTGTCCTGGCGTGAGTTGAGTCGCAAATGCTCTAACCAGTGTAGGTAATAGCAGCTTTCTGGAAGGGTTGTCTTTATTTGGGAAACAAGTACTATGGCTGTTTTAATGTTCAGATCATGAAGTACTTTCCTCTTCTGACAATGTTTCCAAGAAACTGTTATTCTTGAGCTGGTATAAGTCTTTACAATAAGCCACCTCGAAACATTTTTCATTTATTCGTTCAAAAGAGTGACCTCTTACTATGTGACAGGTGATATTTTAGAGATGCTAGGATTGCAGCAAGGAACAAAGGAGACCCTTGACTTTCAAGAAGTTTGCAGTCTGGGGGAAGAGTGACGTAAATACATTCAGGGAATGATAAAAGCTGTGAAGGGGAAAAAAGAATTCAGATTAGAGATGATTGGGGAAGTCCTCTGTTGATCAAGCTTTGGTTCTCTTGCAGAAGAGTGTTCTAATCAGGAACAAGCAGTAAGTACAAAGGGCCTGAGGTAGACAGATTCTTGTCTTGTTAGAGTCTGTGTGACTGGAGTGACGACAGAGGGAAAGAGAAGTAGGAGATTAAAGAATTAAAGGAGCCGGTCACATACAGAGATGGCCTTCAATTTGCTAAACTTTTGTGTTTTGGAAAAGAACTTTGAAAAACTGCTTTCTCGCCTCAAACAATTTAAGATGATCCTGAAAAGTTTTCATCAAGAGTGTAAATAGTTGCAGAGACTGCCATTTCTGACATTTTGCATTACTAACATTTTTCAGTTTTCACATTAATTTTAAATCTACCCAGTGGAAAGGTAAACAGGTGGTTTAACAAGCATCATCCATTTAAAAAGTACATAATCAAAAGTGTTCCACTTCATTAAATAATATTAAACATGAAAAGTAAAATGTTAATTGGGAGTGTCTCTTAATGAGATGACTGGTAGTGGGTTTTTTTTTTAGTTTGTGTAGACATAACAATACTAGGAAGAGATACAGTCCTGTATCACATTTTTATTGACCTAAGTCACTTCATTTAAAAAAAAAGTGTGTATATGCGTGTGTGTGTATATATATATATATATATATATGAGAGTCGGATCATAAAGAGGGCTGAGTGCTGAAGAATTCATGCTTTCAAACTGTGGTGCTGGAGAAAACTCTTGAGAGTCCCTTGGACTGCAAGGAGATCAAACCAGTCAATCCTAAAGGAAATCAGTCCTGAATATCCACTGCAAGGAGTGATGCTGAAGCTCCAAGATTGAGGGCAGAAGGAAAAATGGGTGACAGAAGATAAGTTGGTTGGGTAACATCACCGACTCAATGGACATGAGTTTGAGCAAACTCCAAGAGGACAAGGAAGCCTGGCGTGCTGCAAGTTATAGGGTAACAAAGAGTTGGGACACAACTTAGTGACTGAACAACGAAAAACAGTACCTGGAGGAATCGGGTGGAGAGGGAGGTGGGAGAGGGGATCCAGATGGGGAATAGATGTAACTCCATGGCTGATTCATGTCAATGTATGACAAAACCCACTGCAATGTTGTGAAGTAATTAGCCCCCAACTAATAAAAATAAATGAAAAAAAATTTTTAAAAAGAAAGAAAAACAGTACCTGGCACAGGAAATGAATGTAAAAGTAGACCCAAAGGTTCATGAAGGGAACACAACTGGGGGTAGAAACAAAGGTACCTGAGAGAAAAATCTCAAAAGAAACCATACTATGGACTGAACTGAGCAGTGGGTATAAGGATCCCGCCATTTCCCTGACCTTGGCTATCTTTTACGCCAACTGCCTTGCAAGAACATTGTAAGAAAAACACATTTCTGAAATAAAGAGAGATTTTCAATCAGTGCCTAGTAGCTCTGGCTGTGGAGGAAACTGCCCTGATGTTGCTGGTAACCAGAAGAGGAAAGAACTTCCCAGCTATCCAGAAAAAAAGAGCACTGGGAGTGAGCAATGGTGAGAGCATAATTCATGAGCTGGGTACAAGAGGTTGGCAGCAGTGAGGCAGAGTAGCCCAAGAGTACCATGAAGGTTTGCAACGGCCAGTTCTGCCACTCTTGGGCAGAACAGCCTTGGTTGTCAGCAGGATTGGAAGCAATTCACAAAGACCAGCAGAGGAATGCTGAACTGCAGTTAAGATTTGGGGCACTTCTGTTAATGCACCATGCTTACAGTCATGAGTGGGTGAGACTAGGAGATATAAAGGTGACATTTTGTGATTTAAAGTTCACTTCTCTGAACACAGGGGTACATAAGCACATGTACCTTGGTTTATCATGTCTTTGGACTTATCAGAAAGTTCAGTTTCACAGCAAGGACCTTCCTAATGCACATGTCAAAAGACTGAAATTTAAATGGGTGATGTTGAGAAGGGCAAGATTTTTGTCCAGAAATATGCCCAGTGCACCATGGTGGAAAGGCAAAGCAAGTACAGGAATGGTCTGGATGGAAGACAGGTGAGGCCCCTGGATTCCCTTACACTGATGCCAACAAGAACAAAGGCATCACCTGGGAGAAAGGTATTTTTAAGATCCCAAGAAGTACACCCCTGGAACAAAAATAATCTTTGCTAGTTAAGAAGGCAGAAAGGGCAGACTTGGTAGCTTATCTCAGAGCTTCTAATGAGTAGTTAGTTGGCCCACTTCCTTATTTCTTCAAAACAGAAATCTCAATGTCTTTTTATGTGTAACATTTAAATTGATTGCATATACCAGAATTCAGTGCCATCAGCACTAACTTGTAACTTATGTCATCATAAGGCTTAAGATAATTAAAAACAAAATCTTAGAAAAAATTCATTTCTCAGCATTTCATGATGTTGGGCAAAGTGCACTTTGATTTCCTGGTGCTCTGTTTTCTGAGTTTGAGAACCGCTAACACCAAGAAAAGTCTTCCCAGGTGGTGCTAGTGGTAAAGTACCCGCCTGCCAATGCAGGAGACATAAGAGATGTAAGTTTGATCCCTGGGTTTGGAAGATCCCTTGGAGAACGTCATAGCAACCCACTCCAGTATTCTTATCTGGAGAATTCCAAGGACAGGTCAGCTATAGTCCATATGGTCGCAAAAACTCTGATACAACAAGCAACTTAGCCCTCATGCTCAGAGTACCAAGAAAAGAGAGACAAATGACAGAATTCTAATTGCTAGCTCTTTGGCTTTTCTATATTTCTAAAGCCTTCCAAGGCACATGGTTAATCCCAGTAATAAAAACAACATTTAAACAGCAGTTTACAATTTGTAAAGTGATTTCACACACATTATCTTTATTTCTTGCCACCAGTAAGATACATTCCAATTTAGATAATAAACAGACTTCACAGTGTGAGTGTACTATAGTGTATTAGCTCTCTGTTGTTCCACAATAAGGTTGTTTTCAATTTTTGCTATTATAAATAATACTGTGATAGGCATTGTGATGAATAATACTTTGCATGTCTATAGTTATTTTTTTCTGAATATTCCTAAAGTTAGAATTGCTGATTCCACAAGTATAGCCATTCTAAAAAAATTTAATATGTAAATAAATTATTAGGTTATTAAATAATTAGATTGTGCTCGATGTTTTTGCCACTGCAAATAAAGGTAAATTAATGTGCAATCTGTTTTTCAAATTTGTTTCTAAAGTTCTGTTTCCTCACATCCCACTTACTCCTCAGTCTCCTCTGGCATGGCTTCCATTTCCAACAGCTCTTGCTAAGGTCATCAAGGACCTCCATGATTTTTTAAATCCAGTAGATTTATTTCATTCCTAACCATATTTGTCTTCTCAGTGGGATTTCATATCTTCGACCATTCTCTCTTCTAGAGTCACTTTCTCCTGTGGTTTTCATGACACCACACTCATACCTCTCCTACCGCTGTTTTTCTTTTACAAACTGTGTTGGGGTCTCTTAAGAACAGACTAGAAGAACTCACAGGACTCAAAAGAGCTGGTATAGTCATGGTTATGGTATATTACAGTAAAATGAACAAATTAAAATCAGCAAAGGTAAAAGGTGCTTGGAGAAAAGTCCACAGGAAAACAGGCACAAGTTCCAGGTGTCTCCTCCCAGTGAAGTTGCATGCACTAATTCTCCCAGCAATGATTTGTGAC